TTTTAAAGATCATGTGAGGCCATTATTAATATTTTAACAATTAATAATATTAATATATAGCGGCACAATATATAAATTATGTATTATACAAGTTTATTAGTCCTTAGAAGCGCTAGTATGTGACCACGCCCTCTTGTGACGAGGTCAACAAACTACCCAATGAGCGGCCAGATTTCGCCTCAGTTCCTATAAAGTCCATTTATTATTCTCAAGTGTTCCGTTTTGCGTAAAAGTAATATTATTTAGAGAATCGTTGTGACGTGTTAAATCTCGAGCTGGACATCATTTCATATCGAGCAGGACAAGTCTATGCACACGGATTTAGGCGCGAGTGTGGTTTGCTCGAGACAAGAGACGATTCTATGCTCCTATAGATTACATACAATACCAGGCTGTGTGATATTTACCTCGTTATCATGCAGACGCAGGTCGTTTCTCAGCAAACATATCACCGTACGAGAAGCGGACATCCTGGCAATCGGTCTTTAACAAGAAGTCTTGAGCAGTCGTGTTTACGTTGAACATGCAGACCAGCAGCAAAGAAACAGTGACGAGCACGTTTGGTAACATGCGCGTGAGGAGGTGAGGTTACCAAACATGCAGTCTGAAAGCGCACGTGCTCTCTTTACCATCAATAAACAAAAATATTTCAACTCTTACAACTGACCGCGAATGTCTGCACGATTTAACCAAATATTAGACTTATGTTATGAATAAATGTTTTTCCATAGGCTTTTAGTGTTTAAACTAAAATATTTTATATATTTCCCCAATTGTTAGCATGTCATCCACTAAAATCATTTTTAGCTAAAAACAAATTTGATTTATATACCACTTTTAAAAAAATGCAGTTCAACGTGCTTTACAAGCAAGAAAGAAACACTAAAAATAAAATAAACAATTAAATCATTATATTGAACATAACAGGAAAGCCAGAATAAATAATAATAATAAAAGGTATTAATATTTTCAGCACATCTTATTCTTCCTCCCTAATGTTATTCCAGAGGTGATCACCAAATCTTTTAGTTCTACTTTGTGGAAAAGCTCCAGAATTATTAATTTGCAGATGCCACGTTTTATTTAATTTTAAATCAGATGCAATGAAATTCATACATTTACATTCCAGATATGTACTTTAAATATTTAAAGCATATTAATGTTGACAACTGTACGCTTTGTGAAATTGTAAAAACATGGAAGCTTTGCATGAAAAAAAACCTCTCTCTCTCTCTCTCTCTCTCTCTATATATATATATATATATTTGCAGAATAAGTATAATGGTAACACTTTACAATAATGTTCCATTTGTTAACAGTAGTCAACATTCATTACATTGAAAAACACTTATGCTTTTTATCAACGCACATTAACAAATAATAAATACTGTAATAAATGTATTGTTCATAGATCTTAGTCATACCTTAGGTCAGTCACAGGTTTCACATTAGCCATAATGTGGCACAATTGTCAAAACTGATGGGGAAAGTGATCAACTTTGACAAGATGTTATTATAATGTTATGATAGTGATTTTTATAATGTCTATAAAAGAATACAAAAGCAAAACTTGTGAAAAGAACTATAATAGCCATTAAAAAATTACCATTATAACCAGAGTTATAGCCATTTTAGTGAAAGTGGCCCTGCCTACTTTATCTAAATTATTAATCTAAATTATTTTGACAACTTTTTGCAATGGGGGTCTCGGTCTCTAGATGATGCATGTCAAGTTTCGAATGAATCAGACAAGCGCCTAGTTTGAAAAAGTAGATTCGCGCTTGAACCCCTAATTACATAAACTAACAATATGGCACAATGTTGTAGACAATAAATTTATTTATTCAAATGTACAAAATCATTGATAAATGTTTCCAGGCTTTTTCATCAAGGCAGCACAGAATTTTCCATTCTTAGCCCCTCAAAAACCAGTGTGGTCTGGTTCACTCAGCTGAGACCGCTCCACAATCATAATATACTGAGACTAAGGTATTGTGAATATAATGAAACATTATGACAGCTCGTTACAGTATCTATTTACAGTACAATCATCACCAGATCTTCAGCGCCAAAGTGTCTGATACTGAAACCATCTGAAGGACATCAGAAAACACATTCCATCGTTAAATGTTTTAAAAATGACTGACCTCTCAGAATAAGGACATCAGAGAAGGCACTATTCGCAACACGAATTGCTGCTGGTGAATTTCTACAATTCAAAACAACAACAGTATCATAGTATCAAGTGTTGAAAGTTTAACATTTACATTTGGACAAAATCAAAATAATATGCCATTTAAAACAATGTACATTTTATATTTTTTGTTACACTGTGTGTATATATTTATATAATGATGATGACATCAAAAAAAAGTTTGCATGTTTGAGTCGACAACTTTATAGGTTACAAATCAAGGCGGCGACTGTTTCAGCAGCACTGACCAGTTCTGAAGTGTCCAAATTCATAACTCAAGCATATCACTTGCTCTTTGGTTGTATTTGACTGAGCAAACAGTACAAGAATGCTAAATCACCAGCCGTAGTAGTCTTCTCTAAAATATTGCTTTGACACTTTAGGGTAATTTTTTTTATATATAATAATACAAAAAGTTTCTTATTGTCATTCCAAACGTGAATAAAAAAAAAAGAAAGTATAAAAATATCCGTTGAATCTCAGCTGATTATTCTATGTGCTCTATGCATGAGTCCAATATTGCAATGAGAATGTATTTACAGTGATTAGCTCTGGGTAAAGAGTGCTAAAACTTTACATAATATAAAAAAGACGTGTTTATACAGTCTTCATTCGCTGAACAGACATGAAAAAGAAATTCTGTCTCATACTGTACCACTTTGGTGGTTGTATATGTCTTATTCTGTCTCATTTGGTTAGATTCTAACCATCAAACACATAATCTTAACAAAAATTTACTCCAATGAGTATTATACAGTACATCTATCTCTATATTTTCTCCATGAGGTCTTTTCTATGTACTTTCAATGACACTCAGGATTGGACCCAGGGATACAGAGGTACATGAGCCATAATCAAAATCAATGACCGACTGACTGAATTCTGCAATACAAAAGACCACGTTTAACTCTCACCATCTTAAGATGACAGCCTTAATACATTCGGGCCAAATTCAGGCCCTTTGTGATTTGTTCAGAAACCCCTGTGGTAACACATCAGAGCACTTGGGGTGGTTTCAAGTGCATCGGGGGATCCGATAAAGTCAACAGGCAGTAATGCATGTGAACTATGCTATTGTAATCAGGTTCTTTTTTTTTATTTACCTGCGACACATTATGTGCCAATCTGTGCCGGTATACTAAGTGTTGGCACTTTATTGTTGCATCCTAGCAAAGCTGGTTCAATCCCAATGACACAGGCTCTGTCCCAAATGGCACCGGGGTCAATGACAAATCAGAGCGTCCATATAAAGAAAAGGAAAAATATTTGAAAATGAACATTTTCAGAATTTCATATTGAGTTTGAAAACATTTTATAAAAAATTTTAAGAAATTGAATTACTATAAAAATGTAATATGGTGTAACTATCAAGTGAAAAATAATACATATTCCTCGCACCTTAAACACATAATTATTTGTGATTGTGATGTGTACACTCACTATTTGTGTGATTATTTGTGATTATTTAAAAAAAATCAATGTAAAGGTTTTTTTTTAAATTTTTTAGAAATACAAATAAATAATTAAATCAGAAATATTAAGGTTTTGGAGAGTCACATCACATGACATTTTGAAACAATAATTCAATCAAATAATGAAATATTATGCCAAACTACAAAAAAAAATGATATAAGGGCAGCTGTTCTTAATTACTTTAAATGTCATCCATTCATGTTGAATAAATGAATGGATCTGGACAAGACAACCATGTTATGTCATTGACCCACTCTCAGCTCTCACTGTCGATACTTTGTCGGGTAATAGTATGCAGTGACTGTGATGACTCATTTCCAGTTATCAACAATTGCAATCATATTTTCATTAAAAATAAAAAATAATAATAGACATTTATATTACCTTGGCAGTAAATTACAAAAAAACATGTTATGAATTAACACTGCTGTGAGGGTGATTCTAATACAATGGCTGAGGAAGTGATGGCAACTTTGAGTTCTGACCAACAAAATTAATCTCTTAATATTTTTTCCATCTTTTGGAAAGTCGTAGAAACACCATCTTGGATTGTTTGTCTTTTCCTTTTGGAGGAAATTGGAATACAAACATATTTGCTTTCATCCCCTGTTCACCACTAAAGAAGTTTATCCAACTGTTTATCCGACGACATCCTCTTCTGAAAACCCTGGAAATGTGAAAAAATTCCATTCAGCAAAAGGTCAAAAGTACGCCATTTAGGACAGAGCTATGCACCATTCTGATTAACAATACGGGAAATGCTATTCGTTTTTTCCGTCCATAGATTCCCTCTTAACGTGATATTTGTCGAGCTGCATTGAGGAGATCTGAAATATGGTCAAGTTTGTTCTAAGTTGGCTGGTTGGCGGGTTTCTCCGGACCCTGGAAGGCAGAGTGGTGATTGTTCGCGTGATTGTGTGGCTTTCCCTGGGGATTCCAGAGAGATCAGAAGCTGCCCTGGACAAAAGGGTGACTGAGAAGCCCCTCGGCAGTGGGCCGCCACTTCTCTTCCACAAAGATCTGCCGCAGGAGATCCCTACATGCGTCGGACACTCCCTCGGGCAGGTTTGGCTTGGTCGGCTGGGTTGCGATCTTGAAAATGGCTGCCATCGCTTCATATTCAGCCCATGGGGGTTTTTGAGTTAGCATCTCAACGACCGTGCAGGCAACACTCCTGAGGAGGGAGACGTAAGGGACTGTTAGCGAACAATAGCTTTGTTTCCAGTCATATTTTTATATGAATCTCAGAGCTCACCAAATATCTGCTTTGCGTCCGTATCCTTCTCCATTAATGACTTCCGGGCTCATCCAGTAGGGGGTGCCGGTGACCGATTTGATCCCCGTCCCGGACATGCAGATGGTCTGAATGCGTTTGCTGGCCCCGAAATCTCCCAGCTTCACATTTCCAGAGGAGTCCCTCAGAATGTTTGCGCCTGTGAGGAAACACATGTAGATTGAGTTACATGTTTGCATCGCCAATGATGACAACTGCATAAAATTATAAGCTGCCTATGGCTAATGGCTTTTGAAGTTTGAGACGCAGCCTTTCTTCCCACGCTTCTAGTCGGAGTGATTTTCTGTTGGTTTAGCCGTGTTGTCTGTGAGATTTGCGCTTGTTTGGGTAATGACTAATTCCCGCCAGCCGCAAGGTTTCCACACCCTGGAAGTCTCACTGTATTGTGAACGGAAAATTAAGAAAGAATATGAGAGGAAAGACAGAGACTCCTTCCTTTGCGGCCCACACTTGTGTATATTTCCAATAGATGATCTTGGGTTTTTAATGGGAATGACAGAGACTGTATTGGTCACATATACAAAAAGTATTTAGACGCACTTAAAAATGTCTGACTGTAAGTGTATAGACCATTTCAAAAGATGTAAACAACACTGGTCCAGAAGCACTTCCTGTTTCAGTTTGTAACTGTTTTCTTTATTTCACATGTAAAGAAAACATCTTAAAGATGTTTGTTTAACTTTTTGATTCAATTTTAAATGTTCTGTTGGTTGTATTTTATCCCAGCTTTTATGTAGTGTTAAAAAACTGAAACAGGAAGTGCTTCTGGACCAGTGTTGTTTACATCTTTTGAAATGGTCTATAAGATAAGAGTTGCAAACAAATGTGGCTGGAGAATTACTTGAACGTTTGAGCATGAGCGTATGAGCATGTTCCACGAATGTTTCATAATTAGTTGTCATTTTGAACACTGCATTATCTATTATCACTGTAAAAAAGTTTTTACAATAAAAACCTGTAAGAATTCCACGGTAAAAACCTGGTAACTACGATATGTTACAATACATTGCCATGTACAGTGAAAACTATAAATGGTTTTGTTTTTGCCAGTAAAAACTGTATAATGTAAAAAACAGTAAAAAAAATATATATATATAAATGACATCATATATGAATAAATAAATGTTATACAGTATAAACAGTTTTGTTTCTTCTTATTTTTGCTATAAAACTATATCAGAGTGTTTTGTGCTACATTTGTTCTCATGTGGCTTGAAATCATGAAATACATGGTCATATGTTGTAAAACATTCAGGCACCATGTGATACATTTTCACTGCGTTTTTTACAGCAAATTTAATAACCACAGTTATTGTAAAGTAAATTTTGCAGGCTCATTTTAATCTAACCTTTTGTGAAATGTTCTGCTTTGGGACTACTAGTGCTTTCCTTGATAAACTGAGAGATTAAAGAGTGTCCATGTCTAGTAGAAGCAATGCTGGCACTGTCTGGTTAGTACCTCTGATTTAGAGGATGTGTTTGATATCGATGCTTAAAGAAATACCTAATAGACAGGTTGTTAATTCTGGTTTGGAGTTTAGCCCTAAAGTCAGAAGGAATGCAAACCTTTTGCCTCATGCTATTGTTGGCAATACCTAAAGGAAGTACGTAAACAAATCTGAGCCAAACCAAAGTTATTCTACTTAATAACAAGAGATGTATTTCAGGTGGTCCATTAGATTTACATTACAAAGCAACAGCCTACTGTTCTTATCTGAAGGCGATTTATGATTACTGTGATTTACCTTTGATGTCTCTGTGTACGATCATGTTGCTGTGCAAATAGTGGACTCCCTGCAGGATCTGTCGGGTGTATCTGCGGGTGACTTTCTCCGTCAGCGCTCCGTACGCCTTCAGTTGGTCTTTAATAGAGCCCTGGACACACATATGTATCATACTGTTCAACAGAGTGCTATTAAACAAGAGCAAGGAATCTCGCTTGAATTCAGATACCATATTAAGTGTATAAAGTGAATGCATGTGTTTTATTCTCTAAAAGTAGAAACTGGACTATAAAGATTTGGTATTTTTATTAGGAAACTTAAAAAAACAAGCTGTCAGCATATGCTTTGACAGGAAACATAAAAACAAACCTGTTTACCACAGGATACAGTGCAATGGAAAATGGTTTGACCCATTCCAGATTTCCTGATTGCAAATGTTTTTGCTGTATTATTTTTGTTCATACTGTTAGCAGGAATTTAAAAAAATATTATTAAGTAACCATTCAGCAAAAGGTCAAGTACAAAGTATTAAAACAATTATTTTGTTGCTGTTACTTTTATAAACTAAACTATTGTGCTTTTAACTCTAATGGATGATTAAAAAAAAATGCACATAAAAATAACAATTATTGTGAATGTATTCTATAACTGTGAATATATATATATATTAATATATTCTATAACTGTGAATATATATATATATATATATATATATATATATATACACACACACACACACACACACACACACACACATATATATATATATATACATATGTCATATACCTATATATATATATTAGGGCTGTCAAATGATTAATCGTGATTAATCGCATCCAAAATAAAAGTTTGTGTTTACATAAAATATGTGGGTGCACGGTGTATAATTATTTTGTTATTATATTATACATTATATATAAATCTATACAATATATACATGAAAATATTTCTTAAACATACACAAGCATGTGTATATATATATATATATATATATATATATATATATCAAATAATTATACACAGTGCACCCACATATTTTATGCAAACTTTTATTTTGGATGTGATTAATTATGATTAATCATTTGACAGCCCTAATATATATATATATATATATATACACACACACACACACACACACACACACACACACAAAAACACATCACAGTTGATTATTAATTAAATACATTATATTAAGTAACATTTTGTATTAAGGTTCAATTTATTAACATTTGCTACATTAGTTAACATGAAATAAAAATGTAAAATACTTATAAAGCATCCATTAATCTTAGGTAATGTTAATTTAATCATAAAAAAAATAAATCAAATAATAATAAAATCAAAATAAGTATTAATATTATGTAACAGTTTAATTAACATTTAATAATTGTAATAAATATTTTTATTATCTAATATTCATAAAGATTTATAAATATTGCAACAAATGACAAATGTGCAAATGCATATGCATGATACTTTTAATGTAATAAAAAATGAAAGCATTTCTTATTTAATCATATATAGTTAATTATATTTGATGAAAACCAGTGTGTTTGCAAGGAAGTCACACTGTTTACAAATCTGGAGCTGGAAGCTGTTTGTCAAATTCTGAAACTCTGGAAAAACAGATCATAGTGCCAAATGTTCCGCACATGTGTCTGTGTTTCTTTGAAACACTGCCGCAAACAAAGTTCATATTTCCTCAGCTTTCCTGTTTACACCCCTCACCGAAGAAACAATGTCTCCTCAAGGACAACTTTGTGAAACACCTGTGACGCAAACTACAAAGCCTCCCTAGCAATAATACATTTGGACAGCTCCTGGTATTATTTTGTATTATAAAGCAACCACAATGACCCATGTCAATTTATTAAAATGAAGCGATGTGTACCGCACACAGAATCCTACTTTAATACACTGCTACAGGCCCTGGTGATCTTCTGATGCCTTATTATGCAATGCATTTCTCACCTCATCTAACCCTATTCCACATCCTACTCATTCAAAGTCCTTCTCTCTGTCTCCTGTTCCCTTTACCTCTGCTCTTATCAAGAGACAGCAGTGCTGTGCAGAGGCTGGTGGCTTTGGCTCTGAGCAGCGATGCATCTGTCTGCCAGAGACCTTGGGAAACATTCCCCTTTACCAGACAATATGTGACTAAGACACTCAGTCTGTGCATATTAAAATGGAGCTGACAGACGGGATAGACCACGTCTGACGTTCATTAAAACACCCATTTGCAAAGAAAATGAACTTGTAAAGCTGTGCGGTTGTGCTGACAAAGAACACTGTGGATATGTTCGCGAGCCAGTGACATTTTGGAGTGGGTTGGTCATTAAAAGGAAAATTGCAGATTCACTGCCAGTTTAACAAATACTTGAAACACTAAAAGGAGGAATTGAGAATGCGCCTGCTATGGCTTGCACATGCTATCTGTGTTCTTTTAGCTCCTGAAAGAAAAGAAAATAGGAATGGTATGGATACAGATTTTCTTATTCAATTTGATTCGATTCACAAGCTCTCGACTGGTTTATATTCCAATTTGATTAGACTCAATATGCTCTCTGTGGTTTATACACACCCCAGGCATGAATTCCACAAAGATGGCCAGTTTTCTCTGCACCGGATCACGCAAGCATCCGTAGTACTGCACTATGCGCTCGTGACGCAGGTTCTTCAATAGCTGAATCTCACACTCCAGTGCGTTCACTTCCTGTGGCGTGAGATAAAAAGAAAGAGAGTTTTCAGAACACAGAAAATCTCTTCAGTGCACAAATACTGTCACCATCTGAGTCCACTACATACTAACCTTGCTGGTCTCGTGACAGTCAGGGTCAAAGGGCACCTGCTTGGCTGCCAGCTCGCGTCCCGTGTCGACGTCGTAGCAGAGGTAGACCTCGCCGAAAGCGCCCCGACCGAGCAGTTTCCCCTGACGCCAGTTTACCGGAGCCCTTGGGGCTGAGGGTTAGAAGAAACAAACCACGTTAATCTCAGCAGCACGCCGCAGACTGTAACTCAAACCAGACACAGACTTGCTGACGACACAGAGTCAAACCGCAACTGTATTTACAACTGGATGCTATAAAGATTTATACTTTCAGATTTATTTGCAACTGTTCTCCTCTCAGACAATAAACTAACATTTAAATGTACAAAGAGTAAGATAGTAAGCTATTGGAAGTTGCTGCATGTTATTTAAAAAAATACACAACTGAATATTAAAGGAGTAGTTCACTTTTGAAAAAAACTTTTGCTGATAATTTACTCACCCCCATGTCATCCAAGATATCCATGTCATTCTTCAGTCGAAAGGTTGCCTTGCTCTGTTATGTGATGCACATTCCTGACTCGAACTCGTTCATCAAAATGAACAAATCTTTTCCCTAGTCATTTGGTTCATTCAACAAACGAAACGAACGAATTGACTCAGAAAAATACTAGTTCATTTTGATGAACGAGTTCGAACAGGAGAGTCACGAACGTGCATCACAGTACAGAGCAAGGTGACCATTTGAACTTATAAAACGTAAACTTTGTTATTTTTTTTAAATGAGTGATTGTTTCGCTTGATAAGACCCTTATTCATCGTCTGGAATCGTTTAAAGCCCTTTGAACAGTTTGAAGCTGCACTGAAACTGTCTTTTGGACCTTGAACCGTTTGGTTCCCAATGAAGTCCATTATATGGAGAAAAAATCCTGGAATGTTTTCATCAAAAACCTTCATTTCTTTTCGACTGAAGAAAGAATGACATGGATATCTTGAATGACATGGGGGTGAGTAAATTATCAGCAAAAGTTTTTTCAAAAGTGAAATACTCCTTTAATTCTGAAATTCTTTTTAACACATTTTTTTAAATCTCAACACATTTAATACTTTTTTTATGGCTTTCAATACATTTGCAGCATGACTGATAGCTATAATGAGCCACATACATGATAGCACAATATGTGTCTGCATTTAATATTTCTGCAGTTGTTCTCTAAACATGGATCTAATCATAGATAGATGAACTTCATGTCTGGATGCAGTTAAACTACACCCAAGTCTGAGAACAACCCTACCAAAACAAGATTTACGCATCTCTCAGACTCATTTCCCACTTATTCTATGACGGACACATTTGCGTCAGTATTTACCATTATCTTAATTAGCTAAGCATTCCTATAATGATATTTGACATGATGAATCAATCTGAATAGTTTATGGAAGATCTGGGGAGGCAGACAGCAGAGACGAGCATTCATGTTCATACGTCAAATTCAGGCGCACAAACTAGATTAATGGAGCTGATAAAACAGCCTACACAGGGGGTGGGGGTTGGGATTGTCACTCGTCGTTGTGTCGTTTTTGTTTGGATTTTTTAATTGTGGGGGGAAAATGTATACCAAGAAGAAAGTGCAAACAGTTTTCCACTGTATTGTTGTCTGTTTTTATTTGTGTGTAAATGTTAATTTATGCTTTGACCTATTCAATCAAGGCGGCTTATAAAAGTCATTTATGAATCAATCAATATAAAGAACCAGCTCATATGAGTGGTAAAACATGTGGTTAAATATGATTTCTTTTGTTGCAGTGCTATAGATTCAGCCGCATGAGATGGTACACGGAAAGGGGTGCAGCACTAGAAATAAAAGAAATCTGATATTTCTGGTCTGGAGGCTACAAAGCCTACAAATGTGTTTAATGGGATTGTCCTTTCTAATTATCTACATAAATGTCCTCCTATGAATGTATGCATGTGCTCTTACATTTAGGACTGTTGAGTTGGCAGTTTTTCTCAGTCCAGCTGATGTTGTGCAGATCTCCACTGTACAGTAAAGTGCTTTCCCCATTATAGCTGCGTGTACGGCTGGACGGGACCAGCTGAAACAGCTTCTCTTGAGGCATAAAGCTTCGAGGGAAAGTCCTCCGACCTAAATAGACACATATTTTATAAATGCACACAATCAAAAAAATACAAATAACCATTTAGACCCATTGACCAATAAAATTCCATGACCTTTTGGAGACTTTGAGTCATTTGACATACTGAATTTATAAAAGCCTTTTCCATCTATATATACTTAAATGAACAAATACGCTCATTTCTGTGATTTTCCTACACCTGGAAACCACACTTTAAAAAAAGACATTTGCTTGATATTTACAGGATTCCCACTGCCGTATCCATATCTAATTGTGTTTGCGATTTTAATTTTCAAATTACATAAAAAACATTCCCCCAAAATGGATTAAATCTTTGCAGAATTCAGATTCCTGTTCTGAATAATCTCTTAATGCTTTTAGACACATGCAATTAACACGTCATGTCCAAACATGTATCTTTATATTCCCTCTCTTCTTCCCTGATTCTCTCTCTCACGCTCTTCTTTTCCTTTGCCTCTCACTTCCTCCATCAACCTTTCCACAATGCAGGAAACTGCTCTCAGTACTTAGTGTTTTGCAATAGTCAGTGTGCCTCATCAGGGGAAACACAAATAAACACACACACACAGACAAGGTCTTAAATACGCTCAGTTCTGGGGAAACTCATCATGCTGGCCAAGTTCATGGCCATGTGCACAGCTTTATCTCGACTAGATCCTGCCTCCAGCACAGCATGTAATGTAAGGAAAATGTTGTAAAAATCAGCACCTGTATAAGAGCGTCAAATCAGCATAAACTAGTATTCTAGTCTCGTCAGAAGGAATGAAAAACGGTTTTGTGTTTTGGAATTGCCAATCTAACAATTTATGGATCTGGGCTGAAAGCACATGTTTGATTCCAAATAGGAGAATCAATCCTGCTCTGTCCCATTGTGCAATGTCCTCCCCGCTAACGCAATCTAGTAGCCTGACTTCGTCATACTCGTATTCAAGAGAGAATATGAGTCTGAAACCGCTCTATTAGGCTTTGATTATGGGGCGTGTCGTAACCGAACCAGGAAAAAAAAAACCTCTGCACTCAATTGGATAGTCGGTAGACCTACAACCAGAGCAACGCAGTAAGTCAACTCCTTTGCATAGCGCAGTTTTCAAATACAGAACGTAGCCTAACTTTATTTATTTTAGAAGTTAAATAACGAGTGTTGCTTCTTTTGCTTACTTCTCCATGAGTGCCACCAAAGGAGAAACCACAACGACCACAGGCTTTTCATTACGTCCCATCTTCTTAACGATCGTCAGAGCCAGCTGATAAGTTACACTTTTCCCGAATCATGTAGGAAGGACGCCAAAAATATCTTTCCGATCGACAAATGCCTTGATTGCAGTTCTCTGTTTGTCTATTAAAATGAATGCGCTGTCGATTTATTTTACAAAAGACGCGACAGCGGAATCTATACATCTCAATTCTCCAGCTGCAGTCATCTTTGACAAGCGCGCTTTGATGATGTGATGATTACGTCCCTGCAGATCATCTGTCCATCATCGTATAAAGCCCGCCCTGGCAATTTGATTGGCCCGTTCATTTTTTGCCTGATCATAATTACTCCTCAATGGATCGAGTCCAGACCGAACTTCCCGACCAAAAAATGTTGTGGGCGGAGTTCGGGCTGGCATCCAGGCTAACGATCCAGAGGACGGTCCAGGCAATTAGTGAATTGCGACTTGCTTTGGATAAGAAAGCATCCACTAAATGCTAAACAAATAATTAATTTACTAATTAGGCCCTCTGAGAATTGAGAGGCTCCAAATACCAGATTGAAGTTCACTTTCATTCGGGAACTTCTACGTCTCGTCTTAGGGGTTTTCAACGAATTGGGATCACGCTAGGGAGACCAGTTGCCTTTGAGTGAATTAAAAGGAGCCAATGAACATCGGCATGCAGGAATTGCACCTGTTCGTCGATTGGTGTTCTTCCCGCCGGGAAGACCCCCGAACTTGCCCATACAGAGTCTTACTTTCCTTCCTGCAAGATGGGTTGGAACGAAGGCTGTCTCCCTTCAACTTCAAAGTGTATGATGCCGCAATCGCCACTCATCACGATACAGTAAATGGTAAGTCATTAGGAAAGCACGACCTGGTCATCAGATTCCTTAAGGGTGCAAGGAGGCTAAATCTGCCTCGCAATCCACACCCATTACCCTCTTTGGACTTAACTCTAGTGCTCAGGGCCCCCTTTTGAGCCCTTTAATACGACACAGTTAAATATCTTGTCTATGAAGACAGCTCTCATGTTGGCTCTAGCCTCTTTCAAGAGGGTAGGGGATCTGCAGGCATTTTCAGGCGACGAATCGTGCCTGGAGTTCGGACCTGGTCTTTCTCACTTTGTTCTGAGACCCCAGTTCGGATATGTGCACTTCGTTTGTAGATTAGGTAGTGAACATGCAAGCACTGCCCCCGGAGGAGGCAGACCCAGCCCTGCTTTTCTCTGTCTCATACGCGCTCTAAATTGTTACGTGGACAGAACGCAAAGCTTTAGGACCTCAGAGCAGCTCTTCGTCTGTTATGGAGGCCAGCAGAAGGGGAAGGCCGTATAAATACAACCAAACTAGATAAATAAACCAAATACATTATTATTAACTCTTTTCAGCATCATAACCCTTGGTTATTTTTATCCATATTGTAAAATTATGTATAAACTGTTATTATTCCATTTCATTAAAATAATAATTATTCAAGTTTTAACTGAGAGGTTAAATGTAAACAAATTATTATTTGTTTTTAAATTATTATATGAATAACACAGTTTATAAATAATTTCACAACAGTTAATGACACACACGGTCACTGTTTTCCTTTATTATAAATAGAACAGTTACACACACATTGTTCTGGTAAAGGGCAGAGCTTACCGTCACCGTAGTCTTTACTGCGACTGGACACATGAAACTGGCGTGGAAAGGTTCCGTGTTTCCCATGACGTCCTGCAGGTGGAGCAGTTAGATACAGGCCAGTTACTCGCATATATTTTCTTCTCGTTCACAGAAAACAGCTCATTTTGACAAGCAAAGTAATTAGTAATTAGAGTATTTGATAAGGCGATATGTAACTATGCATGAGGTCATTGAATCAAGCAAATCAGATATCAGATATTGAGGAGCCCTTTATCACACAGTGTGATAAAGCCTGATTTGCTTGATTCAATGACCACGCATAGCTACATATCGCTTTATCAAATACTCTAATTACTTTGCTTTGTCTGTGTGATAAAGGGCCCCTCATATATGTATGTGTGTTCTTTAATTAAATTCTGTATACAATTATTACATCCAGACATGATGCTTTTAATGTATTAGTGTAGTTTTTTACTGTAGTAAATAGATTATCAGAGAAAATCTCTCTTTCTTTAATTGTCATAAAAATAATGCAAAATTACTTATAACAAATAGAAGCATTCTGATATGATGTCATGCTCCAAGGTTTCTGCTTTGAATAAATTCTCTCCTTTAAATGGTAAAAAAGACTTAGAAAGAAAGAAAGAAAGAAAGAAAGAAAGAAAGGACTAAAAAACACCTGCACAAAACGAGAGTGGGAGAGTAGGTGTCTGTGTGTAAACACTGAAAAGCTGCTTTGAAGCAATCTGTATTGTAAAAAGCGCTATATAAATAAAGGTGACTTGACTTGACTAAACACAAGCAGGGGCCCTGGCTAGATCGCTTGAACATGAGCGCTGCATTCTGCGATTGAAAGCAGCTGTTGAGCGAGCGACTGCCTCCCCATGTGCTGTTTGCAGCCCGTCTCCTAGGGAGACCCAGTGATTTGCTCTGTTTAGAAGAAGAGTGCAGGGAGGAAAAATCGACTCACAAGCCCTGAAAAAAAAGCCTGATCTCTATGGAGAAATCCTCAGTGAAAGCATGTATGAGTGTGTTTGGCTTTCAATGGAAACATGTTGTCTGTATCATAGAGCCCTGGGATATAAATGGTCTGCAGCTCGTAAAACGGAAAGTTTCCATGAAAAGTGTTTTTGTGCATGTGTGTGTGACTGGCCTCTGTTGGGGAAGATTACTATCTCATTATCAGGCAGGCCTGCTCTATTTGATCACTGCTCGAGAGGAAAAACAACAGAGGGAAACCGGGCATGAGCATGAGAGCTGGAGAGAGCGAGAGTGACAGAGCAAAGGAGAGACAGAGAATACTAACCAGGGAAGGACATGGGAGAAAATCTCCTTGTTTAACCACTCCAGTAACTTTCAATTTCTCAGCACAGCAGAAGAAAAGGAATGAAAGGGGGAAAGAAGTGTGAAAATCTCATTCTCTCCCTGTGGATACAGGTCTATAACTCTGTTCCTAAAATCTAGTGAGCTGCCTACATATGCAGACTTCACATGCATCACGTTGAAAAATAATACATTTCTTAATATCTTTGTCTTATCCAGACAAAAAAAATTATTCAAGTATAAATATTTAAACATCCTAAAACAAAAGTAAATTTACTTGAAAACAAAACTGAATAATATACTGCATTCAGACATACATACATAATATGTTTTACATGAATTAAACAAAAAATAATGAGAACATGAACTTAGAATGATTTCTGAAGGATAATGTGGCTTTCAGCTTTGCCATTACAGGAATGAATTACATTTAAAAATAATACACATTTTTACAGTTAATTTTTTAACTGTATTTTAGACTGTGTTAATGCATCATTAATGAGTTTAAGAGACTTATATGAAAAAATGTTTAAAAGAATAGTAATTATTCGATTTAATTGACATTTAATTTTTTTTAGAATTATTTATATATTTAGAATATCTTGAATTAAGTTGGATTTATGCTCAACAAACAAACAAAAAAAAACTGAATAATGATGGTAAACAATAATGATGGTAATAATAATACCAATAAAATATAATTGATTGTATACAGAATAATAATACAAATGAATTTAAATAAAATATTATAAATCTAAGGATTATAACTCCTTTAATACAGAAATTAAGAACTGAAATTAGTATTGAGTCAAATCTCCCATGTACTTCGAAAACAAGTTTCTGTCTATGTAGAACGTCAAATCAGTCATTGATTAGGCTCCATTTCTGTTAGGATGCTCCCTTAGAAGGCAGCTGCCTATCTACCTGCCGCATCCCATCAAAGCAGCTCACTAAGTTTGGGAACATGCTATTTTACAGTCTTGTTTTAACGGCCCATTAGCAACACACAGTGATCACAGTTAGCAACTCAAAGGACGCATCTTTGCTCCTCTCATAGAGAGCCAGATCTATAATGGAGCAAAGACCATTAAAAGTGCCCACAGCACTGACAGAAATCCCTATTCACTTGCTCGTGTCAACCTCACCTTTGTATTCATAGTTGAGGTTCAGGTAATTGTTGTCCCGGTTGCTCTGGGAGAATGGCGGGCTGTGGAAAGACAAGGAGAGGAGGAGAGATGATGGGTTATTTTTGCTTGTTACTCCCCTGTGTGCAGTGGTGACGTTGGGCCGCACCGTCTGCCTGGCCTACATTCCTGCAATGTGCCAATGTGCCCAATGTGACCGCCTGCCACCTGTCGTTAAGTATGGTAGATTGTCTCTACCTGATACCTGACCCGAGACACTAAGGTCCGACCATTCAACAGGGTTTCGGAGACGTTTGAATAGCGCAGTGAAAGCGTTAAGTGTCAGTCAAATTTACACAATGCAGTGACCCAAAAAAGCATTTTGGCCACCATCTATGTTGCATCTGCAAACCAATGATGCTAAACTTTTTTCACTTTATTTGCTGTTTTGCTTTTATGTGGTGGTCACACTAGATTTTAAGTATGTGAAAATAATTTGAAACAGATAATGCAACAGGATATGATGTCATGCTAGATGGTTGTAATTTTCGGATCAATTAGGTCTTTTGGGGGGGGGGGGGGGTTAGTTGAGCTGCAGTCCGGCGTTTTTCCTCTTTGTCGCCATCTCTGTTTAAAATCTGCAATTGCAGTTATTCATGGAATTATTAACATTACGGTGAGTTGTACTTCAACACCCTCAACACGGCACAGTGTGGATGAACACAATGTTTGAGGAGACTGTGAGGCTGTCAGTCACCGTGCCGATATGGATACTGGCATTAAGAATCACAGATTTTCTTATTGGATATTCTTTTTGGAAGTATGACCTGAATTTTCACCGGAAAATGTCTGAACTAGTACAAAACATCCACTTTTGTTGTGGGTCTGACATTGCAGTAAATCGCGTTGATTAAATCTAACAATCGCTTGTAAGTTATCATATCACACAAAACCGTGAAAATTATCATTTGTTCTCAAATTGTAAATGTTAACATCAGCATTGCGTGACAACATGTAATGTCCTCCCAATATGTATCCCGCATGAGTCCAGTTGCAGTCTCTTTTTTTCTGTAACCACTCCGAAGTCCGAAAAAAGTCTTTTGCATTTTACAGCGGGTGAATCTGTTGTCACTAGTGATTGTCGTTTGAACCTTTCTGGATTCGCCATCAAATTGATAAGTTTAATTATATCAAGTGCTGTGAGAAAAGGCTATAAATCTCCAACTCCAACATCCTCACTCGCAATATAGCCTACTAGCCGAGACTCCTTCTTTATGTGTACAGATGTGACGTAATGACTCGCCATGCTCGAATCTCCCACGGAAATCCACCAGTACCACTGGAATTAAAAACTTTATTACAAGCTTACCGCTTTGAATCGAGCTAAGGCAAGCAGATAGTTTAACACTGTCTCGTTATGAATTTTCTCAAATATGTATTTTGGTTCATTTTTAACCCCAAAAAAGCTACGGACTTAAAAAATAAAACTATTTCACTTATAAATATTTGTAATGTTTTATAATGCCTTTTACTTTAATATTTTGTCATTTAGCTCAATTGCATTTGCATAGCATAAAAGCATAAACAAGTATATGTTTGTGTTCTCAAGTTCTTGGTAATGTTTTTTATACAGAAAACAGATGGATAAATGGCCTTAATCATATTTTCCAGGCAAACAAATGACTACATTCAATCACTTGCTCAGCTGTGGGTAGTTAGACGGCAACATTCAGGTTTTTTCCGTTTTAAATCAATGTAAGCTGTAGCTGGCATTGATTCACAAAACAAAGGCTCAAGCATGTTATATGTTGTTGCAAGATTTCATCTATTCATCATTTCGTCACTATAGGGTGTCCATTTCATGTCTGCTTTAAGATGCAAACAGCCTCGTTTTTCTGCTCACCCTATAGGAGTCAAGAAAAAAACAACTCCTTTTGAACTCTTGCAGGCAACAGCAATATAAAAACATCATGGGTTAATGTGCATATGTTACTGCCCTAACCCTGTTATCCCTGTCCGACGGTGACGTCAGTACTGAGCGATCAGCAAGACCCTGGATAACGGGCACACACACACCCGCAGTGAGGGGAGACATTTCCATGCACTTGTTTCCTGCCATTGTTCTGAGGGCTAAAAGCCAGATAAGGCTCGTGCAGGTAGCATGGTTTTCATTTCTCTTTTCCTCTCTCTCTTTTTCACTTTCCTGTCTTTCATTCTTACTCTTTCTCTCCCCTGTGTTTTTTTCACACTGCATTATTGACTGACTCTTTTTATAACAATGGTGCACAGGCAACAGAAAGCAGAATAGATTGGCTAGATCAACCCACTCTCTCTATCTTTCTCTCTCTCTTTGAGCAGAGCAGAGGCGGCAAGAGATAGCACTGGAATCCAGGCGTCCAGATAAGCGTGTTGTCGCCATGGTGACATCAAGGGCTTCCTGGTTGGCCTTTGTTGTGACCCGATTTCATTTCCTCTCTGGACAGTTGGTTCATTTATCAGATATCTTGTCTATCCGTAATTATTATAATATACTCTTTAAGGTGAAGTGTGTAATTATCTCATTTTAAATGCAGAGACAACAATAAGAAAGACTTTTTTTTTATTTCAACTAACTACAAGTAGTCGCAATTCTAAATTACATATATCAGTAACGTGAAAGTGGCTCTGCTGATATTAAAACAGTGCCCAATAAGGCTAAACAAGGCTGACTAGTTCTTAGTGACTAAAATACTGAAGAACAGATACTAAAATAAAATAAAAAAAGTCTAATAATGCATTTTAATTTAAATTTTTTTTTGTTTAATATTAGAAACTAAAATAAACATTCTACAGTATACATTTTATTACCTGCTTTCATTAAGGTACTGAAAAGTTTTTTTTTTAGGGCTGTGCAAATTAATTAATTGCGATTATCGCATCCAAAATAAAAGTCTGCGTTTACATAATATATTTGTGTGTGCTGTATATATATATAAATACACACACATGCATGTATATATTTAAAAAAAATGTGTTATTCATATATAAAATATTTATATTTATATAATATATATTATGTATATATATATATACAGAATTTAAGGTTAAGTAATTCTTAAATATATACATGCATGCATAAGTCTTTATATATATACAAAATAATTATATACAGCACACACAAATATTTTATGTAATCACAGACTTTTATTTTGGATGCGATTAATCGCAATTATTTTTTGCACAGCCCTAGTTTTTTTGATTTTTTTATCAGATAACACTAGTATTAAAAAATAAAACTGCTATTGGTAACACTTTATTTCAATAGTTCGACAGAGGGTAGAATCTCATGCTTTTTTATAGCTAGCTTGCTAATGCTAGCCGCTCCGAAATTGCCTACTCTGCAACTACATGTCAACTAACTAACCCACTATTTAAATAATAGCAGTTTACACTAACTTTTGCAGTCTAAAAAATAAAAATATAAAGAAATAAAGTAAAAATAAAATCTAAATTCAAAACAAAAAATTCAAAAAATATATAATAAACCTGTCACGACTATAGCCATACACACAGACAGAAGTCACTGTTTTCAGCATCTTGTGTCATGTGCTATGTGTTTAGTTCCACTGTGCACCATCTAACTGTCTTAAAACTTACTGGCTCTTGTATGATAAATTGTTTATGATAAATACCAGGCTAATTATTCAAGGCTTTTTTTAAGACCAATTAGTGGATTGGGGTCGGCTGCACCAGCTGTGCGTAAGTTGTTTTCACATAAAGGGGCACTAAGTTACAACTGTGCACATACTAATTTTTTTTGCATTGCACCATTAAACTTGAAAGTTGAAACATAACTCTATGGATAAAATGAATAAACTAAATATTTACTCAAGCCACTGTATAAAAAAGAATGTCATATTATGGCGACGACGCATTACGGTATTTTACGAAGAGTCTATGTCCTACTAGCTATGTTCTGCCTTAAGAACAAATGGTGCAACCGTAAAAGTACTATTACATTACTACTTGTACTTTACATTCCAGTTTAAGAACTTATGAATGGCTGGTGCAACCCTACCTTGTTTTTGTTTTTTTGTTTTGTATGTGGTCTTTTACTTCGCTAATACACAGTTTATAAAGCCCACCTGTCCAGTGCTTGGTCCAGTGACTGACAGCTGCTGGAAAGCGACCCATTAGCACTCCCGAATGGCTCCATCATCTACAGACAAAAAATAAATGACATCACTACATTGCATTACATTTTTCATTACCATTTGTGCATCTGAACCTTAGCCTACTACAAGACTGACGTAAGATTTTCCATGAGCAAATGCCCGTAATATGTCCAAGCTTTCTTTTCCCCAAACAGTTATAAAGTGCACAGTTACAGAGAACAGTGATAACAAAGTACAGGGCGAAAGAACATCAGAGACCATGAAAACTAAGCAATGTTTCTTTTTATTAGACTTTTCACAGTTTGTTAACCCTTATTAAGAAACAATCAGGGTCATTCAAAACAAACAGTCATTTGGGATTCATCAGGGATTCATTCAGTTTATCTTTAATTCAGGTTTTGAAATGTCACACAGTACATCTGTACACTCTGGATTGCCATGCTTATTTGTCTATGTATGAGGTGTATAATTGTCTGCCGGTAACTAAACAAATTGCCAAAATCTACCAGTACTGGCTGATTTCACATTTATTAGTTATCGGCAAGCAAACATGGAGGATGATGGGCAAGAAGAAACGAAAAAATAGTGTTTGGACTGCTTTTTATAGAAAATGCACAGGAAAAAAGAAAGAGATGGAGGTACAGTAAATAAAATTCGTCATGAACATCATCACAGTTATTCATTTTCCCCTCTCTCTCACACACACACACACACACACTGTTAACACACACAAAAAATCTATCGTCAAACTAATGGTGGAAATGTTGCTAGGTGGTTACCTGGTACAAGACTGCGGTTGTTTTGCTTACATCTTCCATCAGGTCGCTTTCTGATTGGGTATTGTTTCGTTACATGTGACAATCTACAGTGTGTGCGCACTGTAAAAATGAATATGCTTTATCTAATTAATAGAATTGTGGCAACAGATT